CAACAACGCTGCTTGCGAAGCTCTCTACAACTTGACGCTACAAAACTTCTTCGATCGCAAGGCAGACATGCTTGAGAATGAGGAGGTAAGCGTTGCAGCTACCAGCTATTTCGATAACTCCGATGCCGTCAGGGGCCTACTCAAGCCTGGGAACGGCTTGCTCAGCATTTTGGATGACCAGACCCGGAGGAACCGCACCGATCACCAGTTCCTCGAGAGTCTGCGCAAGCGTTTCGAGGGCAAGAATCCCGCCATTACCCCTGGCTCCACAACTGCGAGACTCCCAGGCAGCAACTTCCTTACCGAGAACACGGCAGCTCTTTTCACCGTCAAACACTTTGCAGGTGAAGTTGATTACCCCGTGAAGGGCATCATTGAGGAGAACGGCGAGGTGATTTCTGGCGATTTGCTCAACATGATCAATTCCACCAAGAGCGAGTTTGTTGCTCGTTTGTTTGGTCAAGAGGCTCTACGCACAGTTACTCACCCCAAGGAGAGGTCGACCGTGATGCAGGCTACCATCAGCTCCAAGCCAACAAGAGCACCCAGTGTTATGTCGCGAAAGACAACTAGGACCGCTCGCAACCAGGCTCGCATTCAACGATATCAACAGCAGCAGCAAGAGGAAGCTCAAGAAGAACTGGACAGGTTGAGCGATGGCAACTCCCAAGCCGGAGGCTCCAGGCTTCAGGCGTCGGAGCAGGGGGCATCCGGTCAATTCCTTGCATCCTTGGAGAACGTTACCAAGGCAGTGGCTGATCCCAGCACCAACTCCTACTTTGTGTTCTGCTTGAAGCCCAATGACAGGCGCATCGCCAACCAATTCGACAGCAAGTGCGTTCGCACCCAGGTGCAAACGTTTGGAATCGCCGAGATCAGCCAGCGTCTGCGTTCGGCTGATTTCAGTCTCTTCCTCCCATTCGGCGAATTCTTGGGCTTGGCCGACTCCGACACCATTCTCGTTGGTTCTGAGAAGGAACGTGTTGAGCTTGTCGTTGAAGATAGGCATTGGCCGAGCAACGAGGTCAGAATTGGATCCACCGGCGTCTTTCTCAGCGAGAGATGCTGGATGGAGATTGCGCAGTTGTCCGAAAACGCTTCTGCTTCTGGAAGATACGCTCTACCATCCGACAACGGCGACGGTCTCACGCCTCAGGACACCCCTTTTGCTGCCTCCAAGGAGCGTCTGCTCTCTGCCGGCAACACGCCCATGGGGTACGGCGAGAAGGGCAAGAGCGGATACTTTGGCGGTCAGGACGGCTCCGACGCTCGCTCCGAAGCTGGCGTTTCTGCCTTCGGAGGCGGTGACATGTTCAAGAACCTAGACACCCGTGAGCAGATGGCCGAACGTGGAAATGAGAAGAGCCTCGAAGAAGTCGAGGAATTCAAGGACAGTGCCAGTCGCAAGCGCTGGGTCTTTACCGTCTATCTTATGACCTGGTTTGTTCCCGACATTCTCATCCGCAAGATGGGCAAAATGCCCCGCAAGGATATCCGTGTTGCTTGGAGAGAGAAGCTGGCCATCAATATGCTGATCTGGCTCTTCTGCCTGTTTGCTGCTTTTTTCATCGTGGTCTTTCCCAAGCTCATCTGTCCCACGCAACACGTGTACAGCGCTGAAGAACTGTCTTCCAACGACGGACAGGACGACAATTCTGCCTATGTTTCGATTCGCGGCGTCGTCTTTGATCTTGGTTCTTTTGCTCCTCGTCACTACCCGCCGTATGTTACTGTCAAACAGTTGAAGAACTATGCTGGCCAGGACATCAGCTCCCTCTTCCCTATTCAAGTCAGCGCCTTGTGCCAGGGCAAGGACGGTTCCGTCGACGAACACGTGTCACTGGATTACAAGAACACCAACACCACTGGCTCCCCCACGCTCGCCACCATTGACCAGAACTTCAAGTTCCACGATTTCCGTTCTTGGACCAACGACAGCCGCCCGGATTGGTACTACGAACAGATGACATTCCTCAAGGCCAACTACAAGAAGGGCAATGTGGGCTACTCTCCTGAGTACGTCAAGACTCTGGCCAACAAGCAGCAAATTGTTGCTATCCTGGACAGCCGTGTATACGATTTGACGCAATATATTAGCGGCGGTTTGAGGATGCAAGCCGCGGCGGGCGAGTCCGTTCCCGAGGACACGGGTCAGACCAAGTTCATGGACAACACTGTTGCCACGCTCTTCCAGCAAAAGGCCGGCTCGGATATCACAAAGCTATGGGACAACCTCAACATCGATGCCGCCATGAAGAAGCGCATGAAGACCTGCCTCAACAACCTCTTCTACATCGGCGACGTTGACACCCGTAACTCGGCCCGTTGCAAGTTCGCCGAGTATCTTGTTCTCGCGATCTCCATCATTTTGTGCGCTATTCTCGGCTTCAAGTTCTTGGCGGCGCTCCAGTTCGGCGGCAAGAACATGCCTGAGAATCTCGACAAGTTCGTCATGTGCCAGATTCCGGCTTACACGGAAGATGAGGAGTCTCTTCGCCGTGCCATTGACTCTTGTGCCAGGATGCATTACGATGATAAGCGCAAGCTTCTCATTGTTGTGTGTGACGGTATGATTATCGGACAGGGTAATGACAAGCCGACGCCTCGTATCGTACTTGACATTCTCGGCGTCTCTGAGACGGTCGACCCCGAGCCACTCAGTTTCGAATCTCTCGGCGAAGGTCAGAAGCAGCACAACATGGGCAAGGTCTTCTCCGGTCTGTACGAGGTCCAAGGCCACATTGTTCCTTTCTTGGTAATTGTCAAGGTTGGCAAGCCGTCAGAGGTTTCCCGTCCAGGAAACCGTGGCAAGCGAGATTCTCAAATGATTCTCATGCGGTTCCTAAATCGCGTTCACTACAATTTGGAGATGAGCCCCTTGGAACTCGAGATGTATCACCAGATTCGCAACATTATTGGCGTCAACCCAACCTTCTACGAATTCATGTTCCAAATCGATGCGGACACAGTCGTCGCTCCCGACTCGGCCACACGCATGGTTTCTGCCTTCCTTAACGACACCCGTCTTATTGCCGTCTGTGGTGAGACGGCACTAACCAACGCCAAGGCATCCTTTATCACCATGATTCAAGTTTACGAATACTGGATCTCTCACAACCTCACCAAGGCTTTCGAGAGTCTGTTCGGCAGCGTCACTTGCTTGCCTGGTTGTTTCTCGATGTACCGCATCCGCGCTGCCGAGACCGGCAAGCCTCTGTTCGTCAGTCGCGAAATCGTCCAAGATTACTCTACCATTCGCGTCGATACTTTGCACATGAAGAACCTGCTTCATCTTGGTGAGGACCGTTACCTCACAACGTTGCTGCTCAAGTACCACAACAAGTACAAGACCAAGTACACCAACCGGGCCCATGCTTGGACTATCGCCCCTGACTCTTGGGCTGTGTTTCTCTCCCAGAGACGTCGGTGGATCAACTCGACGGTGCACAACCTGATGGAACTCATTCCCATGGCTCAGCTGTGTGGATTCTGCTGTTTCTCCATGCGTTTCATTGTGTTCGTCGACTTGCTGAGTACTGTTGTCCAGCCTGTGGTCGTCGCGTACATCATTTATCTTATCGTGATGGTTGTCCAAAACCCTACCGTGGTGCCAGTCACGGCCTTCATCATGCTTGGAGCAATCTACGGTTTGCAAGCTATCATCTTTATTGTCCGCCGCAAGTGGGAGATGATCGGTTGGATGATTCTGTATATTCTTGCCATTCCCGTCTTCAGTTTTGCCCTGCCTCTCTACTCCTTCTGGCATATGGACGACTTCAACTGGGGTAACACTCGTGTCATCGCTGGTGAAAAGGGAAAGAACATTGTTATTTCCGACGAGGGCAAATTCGACCCCTCTGTCATTCCCAAGAAGAAGTGGGAAGAATATCAGGCCGAGCTCTGGGATGCGCAGACCGTCCGCGAGGATGCTCGCTCCGAGGCCTCTGGCTACAGCTACGCCACTAAGGGACAGGTTCCTGTTTCTGAGTACGGTTACCACAGCCGCCCTGGCTCCATTGCTGCCGGCTATGCGCCTCCAAGGGCCCCTATGGGTTACGATCAGCGTAACATGTCACGCATGTCCCTTGCAGCGTCCGAGATGGGCGGTAACCGCAACAGCCAATTCGGCGGTTCGCAATTTTTCTCCCCCGAAGATATGGTCGGCCTGCCCAGCGATGACGCGTTGTTGGCCGAGATCCGCGAGATTCTAAGGACGGCCGATCTGATGACGGTGACGAAGAAGGGTATCAAACAGGAGCTGGAGCGTCGCTTTGGCGTTCCTCTGGATGCCAAACGACAGTACATCAATAGCGGTTAGTCCTCCCCTGGCCACTTTTCACATCTTTCTCTTACTGACGTCATCTGCAGCTACGGAGGCGCTATTATCAGGCCAGTTGTAAAACGCAGCGTCGTTGGTGATTTATATCTAATTTAATGCATCACATTTGGCTACGGGGACACCAAAAAAGAGAACACCTCTCACGCTTAAGGACATTTGCTATTTGTTATCAGCTGGGAGGGATTGCATGCACCGGGAAAGTGTTTATTATGTTGCACATTGTTATATACAGAGGATTCTCGCATAATACTGGATGAAGTTGTCAGATGAGTTGCCGATTCAGGACCTCGAATAAAGGTGGTTAGGAGCGAATGATTTTAGTTTCCTAATTTGGGCAATACTTGTTCTTGCATAAAATGCATCCACGTGCAGCCATGAAAATGCCAATAATCATTCGGCTGCTTGTGGATATTGTCGGTAGTACATGCAATGGTGGTCTTCTACCACACCGGATAAGCAATGCTACGTGATTACTTGACGTCGTCATCAAGCAGACTGTGCGTGCGATACATGCAGATTCAGGATGACCCCATAATTAACCTGACGACAAATGTAGCATACAGAAAACACTCCACCCAGAAAATATCCAACAGCATGAAACATCGAGCGGGACATAGGTGTTGCCTTTCTTTCTGGCCGTGCATGCTTTCGCGATGGGTCCTTACAGTTTTGTGCTGACTGCCGGAACCTCCTCGTCGAGGGGGAGAACATCAGGCAAAGGACCGACTGGAGTGATGGAGAAAGGGTTGATATGAGTGTGGCTCTTGGTGTAGTGCCACTTGATATGCTCGAACTGGGTCGTGTCGCGGAAGGCTTGGACATTCCAGTAGAGATTACGCATCCACCTGTGAAGGAAAGGGTATCCAGAACGGATATCGCGTATGTTCGTCTTGAAATGTTGCACGTAGACGGGCAGTGCAGCTGTCAGTAACTTTGTGGTCAAGAAGATGCAGCTGAACTCACATCGAATCGAATAATGGTGACAAAGCTGCGCGGGGAAAGACAGAGTAAGCTTGGCCTTGATGCCCAACTGAAGAAGGAAAAACAGTAGTAACAGTAAAAATAGAAGCAGGGGATCGCCTGAGACTCACAGTCTGATATCCGCTTCAGTGGTAACCTTTCCAAAGTAAAATGGGCCCTCGCTATATGTCGACTTGAGGTGCGCCTCGGCTTTGTCGAGAGCCTTGAAAAGAGCGACGACGTTGCGTTCATATGCCTCCTGCGTCGTGGCGAAACCAGACTTGTAGACGCCGTTGTTGATCTTGTCGTACGTCCACTCGTTTGTCTCGTCAATCTGGGTGCGGAGAGTCTCAGGGTAGAGGTCGACTCGACGGTACTTTTCGTCCACGAGGTCATCAAACTATGGCCAAGGTCAGCTACGCCAAATCTTTCCTAGCTTCCAAAATTAGGTCACCTCGGTGTAGAGCATGCGGATGATCTCGCTGCTTTCGTTGCTAACGATGGTCTTAAGCTTCTTGTCATACAGCACCGGGACAGTGAAGCGGCCCTCGTAATTGGGCTCTGACTCGAAGTAAACGTCGCGGAGGTGCGTGAAATTCTCGTGGCCCTGGATGGGGTCTGGGACGACATTGTCACCGGGGACGCTCTCTTGCTCGCCCTTGGTGACGAAGCGCCATCCTGTTGGGCAATCAGCCCAGCTACCACACTGAATTTTTGTGCGTATCACCAAACCCACCTTTCTCTCCTAGGTGCCAGTGGACAACGGAGTAGCTGATGATGTCCTCTAGACCCTTGAGCTGGCGGGTGATCAAGGTACGGCAGGCCTGCGGGATGTGAGCTACTTGTCGCACAGCCACCAGAAAACAGGGCCCTGGAGTGTTGGCAAAACTCACCCAAGGACAAGCATAGCTGACATAGAGATGATAGCGGCCCTTCTCAGCTTGAAACTTGACGCCTTTCTCCCGGGAGATCGAGTCACGGAACGAGCTTTGCTGACGCTTGAACTCGCCGGACTTGTCGCCGGACTTAACCCACTCGGTGATCTTGCTGGCCTGCAGCGTTTTCGTGTCAGTCCTGTGCCTGATCTAGAACCTGCCCGCTGGGCTCTGGTCATCTTGTTCCAGTCGCGGCCTTACGTACCATTCTGAGCTGTTGGCTGCGAAAAGCGTCTTTATGCTGGACGAAAGTTGACGAATCTGAAGGCGAGAGGTGTCGAGGCGATGGCACGGCTGACGTCAAAGACCGAAACTATTGACGGCGGCATAGGCTTTGTTTGCCGAAATAGGAGAGACGATTCAGAATCCTCACGTTCATGGGCGATGATGATGATGTTGGCCGGCAGCAAGAACCCGCCGCCAGGGTGCGGGGGCGGAATGATGATTTTATACGGTATGGTCTAGAAAGGGACGATGTAGTTGTGTGGTCGTACGTTTGTTCGCATTGACGAAGCGAGGACGACTAGCCCATGCGAGCCACTCAACTTGGGCGCAAGGTATCTTTGGTGATTATTACAAAGGCATGCATGGCCCATGTCATCTACGGTCTTCTCCCCTTTCATGCCTAGAGTCGCCATCCACAACGTCCCTCTGCAAACGTCCGCGAAATGGCTTCTGTGAGATAGGTAACAGTTGCGCAACAGCTCTAAGCATTGCTAATGGTGACGTAATCAGGACCCAACAGATACGGTCCCACCCTCTACGCTACTGAAGCAGAGCGCTTACAAATGACCACTGCACCTTACTCGTACACGCTTGGGCTTATTCATTCGGGTACGTACTTGGGGGTATCGTCCTTTGATGCGGATCGGTTATCCTGGCACCAGTTTTCTCGCCATCATACCATTCCATGAATGTCAAGATGCGACATAAGTTTGTTCCTAGTTGCCTACTTGACTCTGTGATACATCCTTTTCTTCTTCTGAATCCTACCTTGAATGCTCAACATCCTGATCTGTCTGTTCGTCTAGGCCTCCTCCCTGACGACATACCTCAGTCAAGACGTATCGAACCCTCCAATGTAGACCCTTAGGCCATCTTCATCTTGATGTACGGAACCTCAACATCCTCGCCGTCAACATCTTCTGCCACCATCTCAAAGATGACCTCCTTCTGGTGAGAGGGAATAGGCTTCTTAGAGACAGTTTCCACCAGCTGGCTCAGTTTCAGGTTCTGGCGGTCCTTCAACTTGGCAGGGGGGAAGAAGCTGGCATACAGCAAGCTGACGCCTGAACTGAGCATAGAAATGCTGAGACCTTGCTTCTCGAAGTGCTCGAGAAGCTCCTTCAGCGTGATATCTGCCACTTCGAAGCGATCCCAGATCTTGTCTAGCTTGACGATACCGTTCGGGCCCTTGAACTCCACCTTCGGGCTTGCAATCGGCTCGCTGAACCCGAAGAATGGCAATGCCAAGTTGATGAAGCCATTCTTGTACTGCTCTAGATCTTGCTTGCCATCGATGACCTTGTACAGCTCCAAGATGACCAGACCTGTGACGAGAGCTGTGGTTGTCGCAATAGCAGGAATGATCTTTCCAGCAATGAACTTCGTCTTGTGACGGTCAGCCTGCTCAATCTTATAGTTGGCAGCGCGCAGGTTGCTGCAAGCCGTGATGAAGTCGATGTGATGGTTGGAATCGTCGTCCTTCTCAAAGTCTACAGGTTGGAGTTGGAAGCCGGCCAGATCATTAGGAGATGGCAGGCTGGCAATGATCTTCTGTAACTCATTGTTGTCGTCGAAAGAGCTGCCCTCTCCGCCCTCGGCGTTCGGGTCCTATCAAGTATTAGAAATGACCAACAGATGAGTCTTTCGTTTGAGGTACTCACAGGGTCGCTATCATTAGCCTGGATCTTGACGCCTTCCGCAGGCGAGAAGTCAGGCACAATCACATTTTCAAGCTCACGCAGATAAATGTCCTTGTCAGTGCCAGGGGATTTGATGTTGTAGTTGAATGCATGCAGATTGGCAGCAGCCACAACAAACGCAAAGTGAGTAGGGTTCTTGGCATCGAACTTGAGCGGACCAGGGGCCCGCTTGGGACCAGACCAGAAGGGAGTGCCACTGGAGGTTGTCGAGTCCTTGGGAAAGTTGTGCAGAAGTTGTTGGATCTTGTTGTTGAACTCCTTCTCGAACAAAATTCGTGCCCATGCGATACAGTCTTCGAATGTACGCGGGCGATCGGTAGTCAGGTAGTCGCGGAGCGTCTCCAGAGTCAACTTAGCGCTGCCGCCTTGTTTCAATGTGGCCTCGATGTAATTGGGCTGCGTCAGATAGAGGTTGACAGTCGAAGGAGACGTGATGAAGAGATTCTCGAACATATGGTCCTTTGCCCAGGCAATGGTGTGTTCGATCTTGTTGGGGAAGCTTTTCACGGTGCACATGGGGAATTCCTTCTCGGGAGGATCTTGAGAGGAGGAGTAGGACTCAGTGAGATGTGGGAGCACAACCTGAGTATTACCCTTGGTTCCGAGGGTGCCGCTTTCAAGGAGAGGCTTGCGGAAGAACACGCAACGTCTGTCAACGTATGTTCTCGCCTCTACGTTGTCAAGTGCATTTGTGACACCATCGAGGTCGTTCCAGAACTGTTCGTTGAAGGTCTCCTCAGTCTCAGGACTTACGCGATCCTTCAGGCAGACGATGTGGCCGTTAAGGTCAGGGTTCATGGCCTGAACGGCTGCTGCCGCACAATCGCTCTTCATATTGCCGACATCCTTGGCGCGGAATAGGAACTGACGGTTGAGGTTGCTCTTCTCGATGGAATCCATGTCGGTAACCGTGATCTTGCCCTTGGGGCCGGTACCCAGGCCAATCATGGCCCAGTTCTTGAGCATCTCGCATCCGATGGCACCCGCACCCACAAGGAACTGGCGTAAGTTGGCGATCTTCTCTTGGTACTCGCGACCGAAAACCACAATCTGTCCGTCGTATCGAGTGCCCAACGGCTTGCAGAGCTCCGCAGTACGTGCAGTACTAGTCGGAAGAGACTCGAGCGAGTCGAAGTACATCCACTGCTTGATGGGCTGGAACTTGCCGGAAACGGCCTTGAGAATCTCCTGCGCAGTAATTCCACCAAACAGAGCTGCCATGGGGTTGAGATCGCCAAGAGCTTGATAACTCAGCTCCTTGATCAGCTTTTCGTCGAACTCAACCTCGAGGCCTTCGGCCTTGGCGAACTCCTCTGCGGAGCGGAGGATTACCGTGGCATCTCCATCATCCAAGGGGTTGGGGAAGCGGCCCTGGCTCTCCACAAACGCGTGGAGAGCCTGAAAACCAAGATGCAACTGCTGGGGGCGATCGAATTTGGCAAAGTCAGACATGACAAATTCAGGCTCCTTAATCGCAGCGGTGATGCTCTTGAAGTTGATAGACTTGGGCATCTTGACCTGCTGGTAGAGACCTCCGCGCTTGTACTGGCCAAGACCGGAAACATCGCCGATCGAGAATGTGTACGGGCCCTTAACAGTGATCTTGCGAGGCTCGCATCCATTCAAGCCTTCCATACCCTCAATCTCAGAAAATGTGACATAGTCCCCATCCTCAAGTCCATGACGGGTCTCGTCAAGAGCAGAGACGAGTCCCTCCTCGTCAATGCCGGCGACTATTCCACTCAAGGGGCTTTCACCAGTCTGGTCGATGACGGTAAAGTTCTCGCCAAAGTCACAGAATATGGAACCAAATAGACCGAACGTGTCGGCGGCAACGACGTAAATGCCTTTAGAGTGGCAGTAATCGCCAATAAGAGTCTGCAGTTTCAGAGGAAGGCTAGTTAAGACGACAACTTGGTACTTGTCGAATTGGGAGAGGTTCTCGCCCAAGCTACGTCGTTCGTCAGCTAGGTCTTCTTCGGCATTTCATTTTCTGAACTTACTTGGACGACTGGTGAACCTTGATCGGTGTGTATGCGTTCAACTCGGCGACTCGAGGAGCCGTAACCTCATCCCTGGGCTTTCCAACATCTTCCGGGTGGAGGAAGAATTGTGAGGACAAATCGGCAAGGGAGACCAAGCCAGGGTCGTAGAGTGTGAGACTCTTGACTCCGGCAAGAGCAATGTTCTTGGCAATCTCGACACCTAATCCCTTGAGACCGGCAATCAGAACATTCGAGGCGCCCATGCGCTTCATGGCCTCGTGGCCTAGAACATAGAGCTGGCGACTGTAGAGGGATTCGTCGATCTCGGTCAGCCCCACGACGGAGTCGTCAACCTGCATACGGGTCACCAGGTCGACCTCCGTTAACTTTTTGTCCTATGCATGGTGATATTATTAGCAGACTGATACGACGCGACGTGAAGAGGCCGGCCACGCCGCGAGCTGCAGCGGCGCTGCGGGGTTAGAAGATCGTTCTGGCGAAGCATTTGCTTCGGCCACAACCGTAGTCGAGGGGGTAAAACGTACAGCCATGGCTTTTTTCTGGGAATTCGGTGTCCCGCCGTTGGAAAGTTTGCGCTTCCCCAGTTTGGCGAGCTGTTTCTCTCGAGGTGCTGCTATGACGTGGAGGGAAACACGGCGGTGGGACGATCAGCTCAACCCCACCAAACGATGAAGCGAAGTGTCCAGTATGTGTTTGAAGGTATCGTCTCGTTCGGCCGCGGGGTCCGTTGGTATTGGGTTCGTGAAAAGGGAAGTGCGCTGCGTGGAAATGGAAAATGTGCACCAGGCAAACTCGTAGAGATTCCGAGATGGAGACGCAGATGGCAGAAGAGTAGCCTTGTTGAAGTGATGTAAAGGTGGTCGAGGAACCTGCGGGTGGAGAGGGGTGGTGTTGACGAGGGGCAGGGGGGTAACTGGGTGATTCAGTGGGGGTTGAGGGAGGTGAGAGGCACCTAGCTACCTTCCATAGAGCCCGGTCGCTACCTTGCGGATAAGGTAAGCAACTGCCTGACGCTAGAAAGGTGCCGGGCTACCTCACAAATCTACCTTGGTTGGGGGAGCTTCTCTTACGTACTACGCACACACTGCCACACAGTGTATGGCGCTGGAGCTCCACCGCTTGTGGGCACAATTAGGTCCACGGGTAGGCGATTTCTAACGGGAGCAGAAGCGTCTCCCGCTCCTGACATCATTACTAAGTACCTAAGGTGCCTTCAAGCTATCTACGCCCGGGCAAGGCTGGTGGATGACTGCAATCGGATTGACCTCATGGGTTATTGCGAAGCCAGTAGAACATGCTGTACAAGGAAACAAAGTAACGTGTCTGGCTGAACATAGTGGAGGGGTCAAAACTCTTTTCCGGCACTGTGCTTCTGCTGTCCTGAGCCAGCTTCTCCGATGATCTACCGAGTTCCATCGCGGGGCGAAGTCCAGTGCCACTGGCCCTTAAGCTCGCCTGACATTGACATGACCCTCCAACATTCTAGCACCTCTACAGTCTAGCATGAATGAAAGTCGGCTGCTCTGATGCGCACCTCGGAGATCATAACAGGCCACTGTCGGCATCAATGTTAGGTGATTTAGTGACATGCCATCATGAATAATTCATCACCGACCATCGACAACGTTGATGCTGTGAACGCAGTGATCTAGATATCAACAACCCTGGATATCACCATGGTAGGGTTGTCATCCGTTGGCAACTTTTGGCGAGACTGGATCACGACAATGGTTGTAGATAATTGAGCAGATGCGTGACACCCGTCGTCGCTGCTGTGCGAAGTGAACCCAATCTCCGTGCACAAGATCCGGCGTTTACGCAGCTACTGATCAGCTTGGCGTGCTTGACAGTACGAGGACACCGAGGGTCATTTTGGGGATTTCTTTTGGATTGTATTCAATCTAGCGCGTGTCTGAGTGGCTGGCTGAGCAGCATCGCCCAACTGCACGACGGGGCCTCAATTGGATGACGCAGTTTCCATGTGTTCGCGCCCAGAGCAAACGATCCGAACGTATAACATCGCCAGTTTCTCTATAGTCTATAGCCCTCGCGAAGCAAGGTGCTTACAATCATTCGACGTGCTTCAGCTCAACGTCACTGTAGTAAAGCTTGTTAGCTTGATGACAATGCCGGAAAGGGTTGGATCCAACGCCAAGGTAGGTGATACATACAAGATGAGATCGGCGCGAGGGGGAATGTGACCGGTGAAGCCGCTAGAACCGAAAGTCAGTGTCTGTCATGTGCCGCAACGGCACAGCGGCTGAAGAAGATGCTTACCGCTCGCCATAAGCATAGTCGCTGGTAATGTCAAGGGTGGCCTTCTCGCCAACCTTCATGGTGGTGACGCCCTCATCCCAACCTGCAGCGTATGTGTATTAGCGGTCACGCAGACGAAAACTAGCGGGATATCATCTGCAGATTGCTCCGGTGAAGTAAGGGGGTAGTGATCGTGGCAGGCGTGGTCGGAACATACCCTTAATGACCTGGCCGACACCAATGCGGGTGATGAAATCGCCGCGACCGACAGAAGAGTCGAACCTGTAAGGGAGACGTTGTCAGCAGCGGTGTTGAGCAAGTGCTTCCGAGGATGGCGGGGGGGCGAGGGGATACCACGCAGTGGACGGGCGAAGGAGGGCAGCAGAGCAGAGCAGAGCAGAGTAGAAAGAGTAGAGTAGAGTAGAGCAGAGCAGAGCAGAGCAGAGGAGAAGAGAGCAGCAGTAGCAGAGTCCAGCGTCCTTACTTCTTGCCCTTGTTGTCGGGCTGTGTGGTGTCCTTCAAGTAGCCAGTGTACTCAATGGTGACGGTCTGGCCGGGCTTGGGAATGGCACCGGATCCCTCCTGATGAGTAGTCTTGGTAACGCCCATGGTTGCTGAAGTTGGCAATTCGTGTGTGGAAGTTGTTGCGTAGTGTGGAGGTGAGATGAGAGTGGGAAAGGAAGAGAAGAAAGCTGAAGCAACGAAGGCAAGCTTAGATACCTAGGTCCCGAACAGTGGAAGTGGGGTATGGAGGGGTAATTTGTATTCTTCGGGTCAAGGTCCAAGGTCAAGGGCAAGGGGCGGCGGCACTACGGATGCGACAGTTCAGCCCGGCGGACGCGACCTTGCACTTTAAATACTTTGTGGGAATTCAATGTGGGAGTCGGATCGATATGGTATAGTATGCGCATGGGTGATATGCGCATGGCAATGATGGCTGAGGTGATGCCGCAGTCGCGACGACTTCGCAGTTGCTTGATGAGTTGCGCTTGCGCGCGTTGGAGGCTAAAGTACCCCGGTACACTGGTACGACTGGCTCTCTCCACGGACAGAGACCACGGTTCCAACGTCGCGACAGGAACTTGAGGTCAAGCGCCTTGCATTATTACTCCACGTCCCTTATCCTAGTCATGGTACTACATCTATACTATCTCTCTCGTTGCTTGCATTTACGTGACCTGGCACTTCTGGCACCTCCCGCAGCCTGTTTGCCTCTATTTCCTCCAATCAGCCGTACTAGCCAGATTATCTGATCACTCACCGCCCAAACACACATCATGTACAATCACCCAGCTTGGGCTGTTTCAACCCCTCTCTGCCTGACCCGAACTTGATTCACATCCTCAACCAGTACATAAGGTCTGAGGAAACACTGCCGCTATCTCGATCTCGTTGACCACTCATCCGTACTCATCTGAGGCCCTGACGGGCACGCATTTCGTGGGACACGCAGGGCTAACAAGCGGCGAACGTTACGTCGGCCGCTCGGCAGTCCCTTGAATTGAACGAGGGGTATGCCCCAGTTTCCAGTTCCCCGTGCTTGATGCCCCTCCATCCCCTTCGCGCTAGGTAGCCTGCCCATTCGACCACAACGACGACAACGCCTGCCCGGCCTGTGTCTCTGACTGACGAGGTACGTACGATCGGACAGAAAGGTAGTCTTGGTCTTCTTTCGATCAGTCTGAACACCACGCATTATGAACGCCAGCCTCAACTGTTTAGCATCCCGCCAGTCAGTGATACCTCGAAATCCTCCATCGTTTAGCTGTGCCAACTTGGTTCGCCTCGGGCGCGGCCCTATTCGCCCATGTCCCACCGTTGAACCAATGGCGCCCAACCAGCAAAGCCTTGTCCACCAGCCACTGACTGCAGCCCTGCCAACAAAAAATGTGATAGAAATCCCGTCAACCCAGCTTGAGAACATGACAACGCGCACATCTCCACCGCCTTTGACAGCCCCGTCCAATCTCTGCCGATGTAAATGGCCAAGTCCGAAAACCAAACGCAGAAAAAGAAACAAAACTGTGGGCTCTCTGCGAGCCAGGATGTGCCGTCTCGCAGATACAACAGGCGCGAAGCTCGTCATGAAGACTTCGTGGAGCATTTGACATATGATGTGATTGCTCAGAACCTCGCCCGCATATGCATCTTCGCGGCAAGCCCAATACAATTCCGGTCAGGCTTGCGAATGCGCCGTCCTCGTCCTCATTCCTCGTCAATTGTCGTCAGAATATGATAGACCCTCATGTCTCCACGTCGGCGGGTGTCCATGGAGCAGTTGGTAGGTCGTCCTGCGGGATCTGGCAGCTGTATATCCATAGTCATAGCCAGTCATTGTCGTCAAACACGTAGATGTCGACCTTGCGCCACAGCATCGGACCCGGTAACGTGTTCTGTATCGGGGTTCTTTGCAATACGGCCCAGGCCCCTCATTGGCGAAATGCTGTGGCCAAAGACAAGACAGCTGCGGTCTCGACAGGGTATCAACAAATCGAAACCCATTTCGATCTGCGCAATGCTTGCGTGTTTTCCGCATCAGGCCGCCATCAACGATGGATCGGAGCGGGGCATCAAAGGCGCCTGGCTATGAGAAATATCCAATGGCACTAATAAGTTAAATGTCAGTAAATCCTCGTCGTAAATCTTGGTAGTGTGCACTTATCAGGTCCAACACATAGTCGACTCTTTGATAAACGCGACTCTTTGCCAGCAGCCCCCTCTCCCCCGAACCAAGTAGCCCGGTCCCCTCGAACATCATGAACAGAGCTGGCTGAAGACATGTATGGCCGATGGCCGATTCATGTGTGTAAGGGTAAACGCAGGGCTCTCGAGAGAATGCGGAACAACTAGACAGGGTTGAGAGTTGCTTGTCCGTCGAAGGTGAGATAATGAAGCCGCGCTGACAGACGAGGCCATTAGAATCATCGGTGTAAATCATCTGAATGCACCATGCATTCGGATCCGGTGGTGTTGAGAACCCAGACAAGCCCGAGGTATACAGCCGGCCGCTCGTCGATGGGGTGGGCCCCGAGGCCCTGGTGCAGACTCGAGTTCTTACTGTAACAGAAATCGATTGGCATCACAAGCGTGCAGGTAGGAGACGTCACAGACTTAGTAGCAACACGAAAATGTTCCAGGGAGTATATGGGATGGATGATGTTGCTTTTCTGGCGCTTCACGGACACTTGCGCGATCAATTTCTAACATGCCCAATTTACAGGATCGGGACTGCGGCTCGGGTCAGACCGTGCAAACACTCCAGGCAACGTGATACCGGGGATGGCCTGTTGATGAACGGGAATGCCCAAGTCCTAGAAAGCCACTGAAGCGCCGGAAAAGCAAATCCATCGTCACAGAGTGAACCGGGCAAAGTTGCACTTGGACGAACAAATTAATGGCTGGAGCACCCAGTGCCACGGGATGGTCCGGCGTCACCTGAACCATCGCTGGCGGGTGGCAGCATTGCATTCCTATGACGTCTCTCGGCCTGTTGCTGAAACGCAGGACAGGGCCAAGCTCTATGTCTGCGAAGCGTGGGGTGGTTGTGCCACATGCGTTGATGAGAAGACCGGGACTGACCAGAGTTCATCCGCTGATATCCCAAACATTGGCATCTGGATCAGCACAAGCCACGAGTAGGCACTGCAGCGTTTGGTGGTTGGGCACGTGCAAGAACGGACGAGACGTCAAGGGAACCGGCAGCGTGGCTGGAACATTCGTGCTACTCTGAACTTGCTTCGTCGCAAAAAGGATCATACCAGTGTGTTACAATGGCTAGAATCCGGAAAGAGGTTTGGAAGTCTTAGCTGCATGTGCGTCCCGTTCGTCGAAGCAGCGACACTGCCCAACACGCCGGTGATCAAAATCACGCAGACATACCGTGGATGGTGTGCTTGGAACGGAAGTCGCTGGTTTAATATGATGCGACTGGTAGCTAGTAGGATGATCGACAGGTAAACAGCTAGCTTTTGCACTCTGGAAGGCGGGGAGAGTGCCTGACAAGTAGCCCCTGGAACGATTTGAAACGAGCTGAAGAAATGCTCGGATGGGTCCAAGGTCAGATTCAGCTGTCACTCACCCACTGATCTAATCCATCCGATATTGTTTCAGGGATTCAGGACGTGCCCACATTCTCAGGTGCGAGGCGTCCAGAGCCTACTCCGTAGCCGCGCAACGTGGCTCACGGTAAGCGCGTCAATGCCAACGCGCTAGAGCAAGAAGAAAGAGACAGAGAGGGAGGAGAGGGATTGGAGGCTTTTGTGGGAGAGAACGAGCGCTGGACGAGGGTTAGGGATGAGACGAGACGACGATGACGAATCGATCTGATCGCCGTGCCATACCTCACATTTCAGTGGCAGCGCCAGAAATGGGAGTTCGTCACTTGAAGGCGCGAAGCCTTAGGGGTGACACTAGATCAAGCCACGCCCGCGCCGTACCTGGAGCTATGCTCTGGTCTCAACGATAGCATGTGTCTCGGCCCCATTTGATCTCAAGCCGGGAGCCTCACTATCGATGGTGGCACGCGCGAGGCCGCAGCCCAAGGGGGAAGAGTCATGCTGTGGTGGTGACACAATGGCCATTGTCTGCATTGGAAACCCAAGTCAACAGGGTTCGGGACCGGACCGGCAGCCGCTGGACAGCCGCCAGGACACCCATCGGGCAATAGTCGACATGGAGGTGATCGACTGAGGTCTAGACCGAGACATGTCCTGGCTACCGATTGCGAAGCTCTATTGATGGCTTCTCCAACGCGGAAGACATGCAACTCAAGGGGACGGCGGGCTGAGTTTGGCACTCTGATGACACGATGGGTTCGAAGTTGGGGATGTAACGCGACCCATGGCGAGACGGGCCGGGCGGTAAGTTGCGAGGAATGGGGACGGTAATGAGAGTATCGGGATGTAGAGAGACGGCTGGAAAGCCGCAAGGCGTGGAGGCGCCGTTCCTGCCGGCGAGAGGACTGCACAGCCTCGACATGTCGTGTTTTGAGCTTCTGTTGCACCGTCCCGCATTCCGTTCACTGAGGACTTCACACCCAGACCCCGGAGCGCAGTGCTGGGGCCACGAAGAGTCTCCTGGACCTGTGACGACGAGGGGGAGGAATACGAGACCTCTCGTCCCAGGAAAGCCTTCAGCCAGTGCTTCCAGGCCTAATTGAACTCAAGTTCGACAGACCCACCAGAAAGATTCGAACGATGATGAAACCGTCCCACGAACGTCTTGTCCTTGTAGCAAACAGAGTTTTGGAGGAGGGTCCTCCCAAGCGAAGAGTTTCCGAAGGGACCGTCCGAAGGCAGAATCACAGCGCACATTAGCTTCAGGGGATTCCAAAAGACGCAGAGCAACGAACGAATGGTTTTGAGCCGACACATTCCTAGGCTTGTCTGTGGTAGAACTGAAGCGGAAGCTGAAGCTGAAGCTGAAGCTGAGAGATGTGTGTGCAACCAACCTGGTCTGCGGACATGGAGAGAAGGGCTCCAAGCGTGCAACTGCCTGAGCACGCGTTGCACTAATAGTGAGTTAAGTTGTGTGTGTTTGGGGGGTTGATGAAGTGACTCAGCAATTAACCTGAGTCGCGCGTGGCGACCACATCAACTGGTTGCAAGCAGCAACTGCAACTGGCAAAGCTTTGGCGATGCTTTTGCGCTGGCATCGGTCATGACCACGTGGGGGAGACGCGCAACAAGTCGAGTCCAATCCGCAGGGTGGCCCTCGGCCGCTGATCGGAACGGGCGAGAACAGTCTTTTGGGGATCCATCTCCTAGCGAGACCGTCTGGCCCCCCAAACGTCATCTGTGCCTCTCTGTGTGCCCCTGTCTGCTCGCTGATCAACAATGGTAAACCCCGCTTGCCGAGTTGCAGAGAGATTGACAAGAACCGGCTTGCCGGCATTGCACTGGAAAAGCAACCACGTCGCTGGCGACTCGACTCAAAGACTCGATGGCCTGCGTCTCGTGCTGCGTACACTCGGCACAACAGTGTGTGAACGTGGCACTGTGGGTAGGTAAGCAAGGAGAGAAAGAGGAACGGTGGGAGAGGGTTATTCATTGCGGTTGCTTTAGTGAGCGGGCAGAATCTTGATGTTTGGCTGTGTTGGTCCAGTGCCGATGTGATTAAAGGCTCAAGCCCACGGTCCATCGATGGGACATTGAGACAGGCTAACGCGAGCGGCGCCTCCTCCTATTGGATATGGGTTCTGTGCCATCCACAAAGTGGCAAGGGAAAGGCGAACCATGGACAGGGATGCAGGGCACGGGAGAGGGACAAGAGCAATTTTGCGTCAACGGTAGCCCTGTTTAGCAACGGCACAGTCGCCTCCGCCAGCGCCGGATGCACATGGGGACGCCGGTACCTGAGCTGGACTGCGCAGCGACCCAGGGCTGCTCACTGCTTGACGCGGCCTGGGTTGTACCTACCTAGGTATCCGTACCCAGCTATACCTATGGAGGGTCCAGCAACTGTGGGATGTCGCTGCAGCACGAGCCTGGGTAACAGGCGCGTCGCCGAGCAGGCGACCCATTGTTTGCGCGATGATCGGCCGTTGGGCGGGTTTGTTGGCCCCGTCAGTCGTGGCCAGGCGTTTCCAGGATTGGATTTGAGGTTTTTGGAAAGATCACCGCCAACGTTGTATTCTCGAGCAATGAAGCTTGTCACGCCGCCAAAAGTAGACTTTTGTGGGCAGTGGGCAAGTGACGATGGGCCGTTGGTAGGTACGAACATGGGTGAAGTGCTGCAGGAGGCAGGTGAGTACCAAGAAGCCAAGTTGACGAAGGTATCATTATCGACTGCAGGTGGCGGGCGGCCTGAGCACATCAATTCCCGAGCACGGCAGGCAGGTAATCTATTATACTCATAAACATCAATTTAGGCACCGTGGCGGGTTGCAACGCCAGCAAGACAATGCGACAGATGCAGTATCGCGGCCCTACGAATACCAGCCTCTGTCACCTACCTTACCTAGGTACCTACAGAGTGCAGCTGATGGGCGACGGTCAGCATGCATCGCCATGTGTGTGAGGTGAAATGCCAGGCTGCGGCGTGGCGGGACACATTGCGCGATTTCCACAGTAGTAGTCGCGTTCACGGTAGATTATCCGTACCTGCGAAGCGAAGTCCCGTATGCCCGCATGGCCGATATGTGCATGCATTGGCCAAAGTTGTGCAGCCACGTGAGAAGGATAGCGTGTGCACAGCTGGAGAGGAGAGCCTGCTTCCGCCCATCCAACTCTCGAGTTCCAACAATACCTAGGTACTGTACGGATACTCGTGCTGAGTATCCGTACCGTACGCAGTACCTATTCCAATGTTTGATGTGGATTGATGGAGACCCGGACTGCACACTGGTGCAGGGGCTGAGCGGTGCAAAATTACCCGTAGCGTCGTCCTGCTGAGCCTTAGCCAATGATCTGCAATCGCTTGTCAGATTTCCCCTGTCCGTTCCCACTACCAGCGGGCCGTTCTGTAATCTGTTCTGCTCTGCTCTGCTCGCTTCACCCTGGAAGGAGCAACAAGCCCCGGCGGGGGAAGGGGCGCAGGGAAGGAAGTCGATGGGAGGAGGCCGGCCTGCCCTCCACCGTGTTGGAGAATGTCTTTCTGATAGGGAGGTACTAAGAGATGAATTGCGCCTGCCAGTCAGTCGTATGTACTCGAATATCAAGCCACACTTCCCCAAGTATGGTCCACGTTGTGTCCCGCCTCACATCGGGAGTAAGTTGATGTACGAATACTTACTTCATCAAGTGCCTGCCCTACCTACATAGTAGATCCTGATCCTGTACCATATCCGTGGTGGAGGCTGTGTTCCGAGTCTTTTGTGCTGGACAGACAGACAGACAGAGAGACAGACAGACAGCACGCTGTGCCTCCAGAGATAGGCCCGTCGTCCACCGAGGGACCTGGCCATTTTTAGACCGTGCTCCAAATTAAACATGCAAAGCCTGGGACCCCTTTGGCGTCTGCCATCTCATCGAGTCATCCCATCCCATCCCATCCCATCCCATCCCAATTGAAGGCAGCCCGGCTACCTTACCTTACCTAAGGTACTCAGCAGTAAAGTATCGGTGCCTCAGTACCGCTACCCGTGGACTAAGGTACCTAAATACGTATCCGTAGGCAGGCCCGGTCCCTAGCAGCAACACCGCCGCAACAGTGAGGTGACCTGAACGGTAGACCACGACCAGAACAGCAATGTCATTTCCAAAATTTCCACCTGGCCCACCGGCATGCTGTTGCCGGCCTAGGAGAACAGGGCCAGAAAGGGCCAGAGACGCTCGTGAACACGCCCAAAACGTACTTTGAGCCGTCATCGCCGGTACGACGCCATGGT